AGCCCCCCCCCCCCTCCTCGACATCCGCCCCGGCGTCACGGTTGAAGCGGCCCGAAGGACGCCGCGAATGGCCCCGCCTCCGCAGAAGGCGGCATAAAGCGGGATTAATGTTTCCAATCACCGCTTGTGTCGGGCCAACCTGCGCCCCCCCCCCCCATGTCGTCGACCCGGGCCCGACGTTAGGCGAGTGCAAGAAAGGCTTCGCCGGGACGAGTTGTGTAATTGCATTTCACGTCTAAAGTAAATCCGGAATAACGAGTGCTGTGACCTGTGGATGATTTCATAAACGCATCACGGCGATCGCTTCTCAGTCGAGGGACACGTCGTAATCAGGAATCTGTACCCCGGTCAAATACCCTCGACTTGAGTCTCCCAAGGCGACGCAGAACATCAGGCTGAAGCCGGCCATGCTGGTTCGTCTTCAGGAGTCTCCCTTTTTGACACAAATGAGACATGAGGTGGTCGGAGCCAATTCTGGAGGCTGCAAAGTCTGTTTGAATGTGAGCGCTGAAAGTCAATCGATGCTCATCCTCGTCCCGTTGAGCAATAGTGACACATGCATGTGACGGAGCCTCAGAATAGAGATACTCCTCCTTCTGTCCTGGCAGCTGCACGTCTCCTCTTCCATAATCCAAAGGTCTCTGTCCAGTGTACACGGCAGTTTGTCCTCTTGAGCTGTGCGTCCGTGACATCATCTGCCCCGCAGTAAAAGGAGCGCTAACACGATTAGCTTCTGACTTTAACATCTTTAGGAAGCGGTGCACGAAACGCTCAAGGTTTTTATCTTCTGCTTTACGTAAGCAACCGTTTTGGTACAAAAACAAGTATTTTACATGATTATTCATGCATCTCTTTGGTGCCTCTGTACGTCTCCATGCGAGACGAACAGCTTGTCTTCTGTCTCTGACTTCATCAGGATTCAGCGTGAGTTTAGGCCTCCGTCTGCTCCTGGGAACGCATCCCGGGCGACGAGCGCGCCTTCCTCCCTGCGCTTCGCTGTCGCCGTGTTTTTTTCTTCCGCTACGAGTCCGTGCAGGTTCCCAGATGACCGAGAAGCCATCGCTCCTCACACGTTGTGCGTGACACTCGCGGGCGAGTCGAGAGAGGAAGCCGCCCGAGAAGATGGGAGGTTCTGAGAAAAGGGAAAAGAGGGCCTTGAGGCTTGAAGATGTGGACTTTTTTTTTTCTTTAGCCCCCTGTTTGAACATCGGCACGATGTGAACGGCTAACGCTAATACCGTGTGGCGGGAAGAATCCACATCAGACCCAGTGAAAGTGTGTTCTCGCTCACATCTTACATAACTCACCGCCACCCACCGCTTCCCGATGTAAAACCAGCTGCTCTGGGCCAAAGCACCATGACGCTGATGCTGCTAGCAGCTCCCCACTTAAAGCACAACAACTTCAGCTGACGGAGAATTACAGCTTGTAATCCTCAAACCGGACGTGTTTCATCCACAGGCTCGCTTGCCAATTACGTTTATTTTATCCACAGGGCAAAGGGCAAAGGTCAGCCAGTCGCCACAATACACTGTACTTGCGCTCGGTTTGTTAATCAGTGGATTGTTTCATTCTCGCCCCAATGCGATAAATAACGCAGCTTGTTACACAAAGTCCCTCTAGCATCCGACGTGCGCGTGGAAACGGGTCAATATGCACTTATTACATCCTCTTCTACATTTAATAAAAAGTCCTTGAAGGAAACGAGGGTGGTCAACGTGAAGAAGAACCTCCCTGATTAGTGGCTGACGTGACCAGTGATTACTCGTGTCGGGGGACACGGAGGTCAAACCCGTCTATTGATCTCCAGGTTCAAGCTTCTGTGCAGATGGAAACTTGCTTTCTTTTGCTCTGTAACTCTGTGAATCTCTTCTGTGAGTAAAAAGAAACCACATCTCCCCGCGGTCATGTGGTCATGTGGCATTAGGGATTTAATTTGTAAGTAAAATCGCTTACTTTCCTGCTTAAACGTTCACGCTGTCCTACGCGTAGCAGAGCTGTTGTAATCTCGTCACTCTTTCGTCACACAACAGAAGGTTATTTAAATGAGAAGAATTACCTGCCAATAAGTGACACCAAGCAAAAAGTAACATGTGGAGCAGTTTGTGTCATTCAGTGACATTATTCTCTAGAGGGGAACGCTCTTCTGATCCAATTAGGTGGATGTCTTTGCTTCCAATGAACACATCTCAACGCGCATTTGATGGATTTCCATCCTATTAGCACCAGATATTCGTGTTCAACAGACAACAGTCTCATCTGAATAAACCAACGCTTTCTGCTGCACGGAAAACGGTTACGTCTGACTTGCTGATTGTGTTGTGATGACTGAGCAGTTGTGGAGACGTTTATGATTCCCTGATGAAAACATGGATGTTCTCTGGAGGGAGACGGCCTCCCGCAGCCGGAAGCTGTCAGCTGTTAACAAACACTTTGCTTCCAATCAGATGAATTTAACGGATGGCCTCGACTCCTCTTCCCTTTTCATCAACACTTCTTTTCAGAGGTTCAGGTTGAAGCTATTATCTGTCGGGGTTTGTTACGTCTTCTTCCTGTCATGAGCTCATTTCGTTTTTGTAAATTTAAATAAATGGTAATTCAATTTGATTTAAAATGCTGAACAGCACACATTTGCCTCAGGCAGCTTTAAAATGTGGACGGCAGACGACATCCTCTGCATGGCAGCAGGACAATCTCCTCACAAAAAAACTTTTCAACAAAGAAGTTATTAGAAAATTAGTTAAACTATAATGTCACGGTTGAGACGGGGGACAAAGCGCTACAAATCTCTTTGCTACAGGTTGACATTGTGTCTTTGCCGTGTCTCTCTATCTGTCCACCGATCAGGTCCTCGGCTCTGTGGCATCACGCAAAGCAGGTGCTGGATTTACGCTATTGAGTGGTACGTTGTCCAGGCCCAGGAGAGGCCTTATGCTTTAACAGTGGATCTGGGCGACTGCGAGGACGTCGGGTGTCTCCGGGCCGTCCTCTACGGGGGGGAATCCTGCGCTCTGGTGGGACAGCTGTTTAATCCTCCATGCCGGTCCTCCCTTCTATTGCTAGGAGCTCTGTTGCAAAGCTTTGGTATTACTTGGATGGAAATGCGGTCTGCGGACACCCATGAGTCTCCACGGGGATTAAAACGCATTCAAAGCCATGATTTGTCATTTCAAACAGATAGATGGAAGTGCAGTGCGATCTGCAGTGAACTACACGCAGTCAGAGCTCTCAGGGATCTACAGGTAATTGTATCCTTGCATGCAACTTTCTCTGCAAATGTAACACAATTGCAAGAAAAAAGGCTTGTTTCTTTATTGCAGCAGTTGAAGAGTTTGCAGGATGATTTGCTTGGCAGGTGCATTGGAAACATGAGATACTGTCGTGTAAAGTACATTCATGAGCAAGTGTCTGGGCTGCAGGTAGAATTGGCCTCCGTCACGGTTCTGAGTGACACTGAAACACGGGTCCTTTTGGATTAAAGCGGGCGGATGTTGCAGTGTGTTTCCAGCGTGTGAATTGTGTGCACTGCCAGCGATCACTCCTTACTGGAGGTTTGATGGTGACAAAC